GTTAGCATTCACTCTGTCATTAGCTTTCGCTTGGTGGTTAGCTTTCACTCTGTCATTAGCTTTCGCTTGGTGGTTAGCATTCACTCTGTCATTAGCTTTCGCTTGGTGGTTAGTTTTCACTCTGTCATTAGCTTTCGCTTGGTGGTTAGCATTCACTCTGTCATTAGCTTTCGCTTGGTGGTTAGCTTTCACTCTGTACTTAGCTTTCGCTTGGTGGTTAGTTTTCACTGTCATTAGCTTTCACTTGGTGGTTAGCATTCACTCTGTCATTAGCTTTCACTTGGTGGTTAGCATTCACTCTGTCATTAGCTTTTGCTTGGTGGTTAGCTTTCACTCTGTACTTAGCTTTCGCTTAGTGGTTAGTTTTCACTCTGTCATTAGCTTTTGTTTGGTGGTTAGCATTCACTCTGTACTTAGCTTTCACTTGGTGGTTAGCTTTCACTCTGTTATTAGCTTTCGCTTGGTGGTTAGCATTCACTCTGTCATTAGCTTTTGCTTGGTGGTTAGCTTTCACTCTGTACTTAGCTTTCGCTTGTCGGATAGCTTTCACTTAGTGGTTGGCTTTTGCTTGGTGGTTAGCTTTTGCTTGGTAGTTAGCTTCAGACAGACCTAACACAGTTTAGTTAAAGCTGTGTGGGCAGGGCAAACCACATTAGCCTTGTGATTGTTGAGGATACTGCTTACATATGCACTTAGTGAGATCAGGACGGCCCAGTTTACATCAAAAGAGGAGAGTTTTGGTCAAATGCATAGGTCACTGATTGAACACTGGGAAGTTACTCACAGGAAATACTGTGTATTTGTATGTTGTGGTCCAAAAGCAAGATTAACCTACTTACCAATAAAACAGGGATTTAGATTCTGAGGGGTTTTCAGTAAATCTCTAACAGACCTGATTAAGTGGTTTCACACACTGTTATCTACAAACATGGACCAGAGCACATTAGCCTAGTTAAACACAGTATTAGCATCTGGAAGCCTGAGTTTGTGTATAGTGTAATACAGAGTCAGAACCCACACAATCAAGACTATCAGAGATACTGAACACCAGCTTTGAGGTGAGCGTGTGATGATTAAGCCATGCAGTTAGCACCATGCTAATTGGTGGGGGAGCTCCAGTGCTGAAACTAACCAGGCAAATTTGAGAAATCAAACTGGGGGATTTGACTTTTGGGTGAACTAATGCTTTAAAAGCCATAAGGAACTAACAGAAAAGGAATCTGTATATCCCAGGAGTCTCTGCTCCAGCCGGTCAGCACTGGGGTTAGTGTGCTTGCAGTCTTAACAGCAGTTTCATACGCACCATGACTGGACAACTGAGTAGCCCAAACTGACCATTAGATCTCAGACTCAGCATCTGAATCACTGAATATATTTATTTATATACACAGTTCTCAGAATACACAGCGGGCTTCACTGACCACTCCCACTGTGGAGTTTCCCATGAGCTACTGCACCTCAGGCCTTCATACACTTCATTCATTTTCAGTATAAATATAACAAATCAAATCACCTTTATTGTCACATCATATTTACACAGGTGCGAAGGTGAGTGAAAATCTAAGGTGTGTAGCCCCCCTGTAGTACTCAATTATGCAAAAATATATAAGAAAGAAAGAAATATATATATATATATATATATACATACACTGATCAGGCATAACATTCTGACCACCTCCTTGTTTCTACGCTCATTGTCCATTTTATCAGCTCCACTTACTATATAGGTTCACTTTGTAGTTCTACAGTTACAGACTGTAGTCCATCTGTTTCTCTGATACTTTGTTAGCCCCCTTTTACCCTGTTCTTCAGTGGTCAGGACCCCCATGGACCCTCACAGAGCAGGTACTATTTGGGTGGTGGATCATTCTCAGCACTGCAGTAACACTGATGTGGTGGTGGTGTGTTAGTGTGTGTTGTGCTGAGTGGATCAGACACAGCAGTGCTGCTGGAGTTTTTAAACACCTCAGTGTCGCTGCTGGACTGAGAATAGTCCACCAACCAAAAATATCCAGCCAACAGCGTCCTGTGGGCAGCGTCCTGTGACCACTGATGAAGGACTAGAGGATGACCAACACAAACTGTGCAGCAGCAGATGAGCTATCGTCTCTGACTTTACATCTGCAAGGTGGACTGACAAGGTAGGAGTGTCTAATAGAGTGGACAGTGAGTGGACACAGTGTTTAAAAACTCCAGCAGCACTGCTGTGTCTGATCCACTAACACACATATATATATATATATATATATATAGACACACAATATACACATTAATATACACCACTGTCGCACTATTTCCAATGTACAGTTATGCACAGTAATATAGTTATGAAATAAAAAGCTATGATATATTCAGTTTTACACATTTCCATGAAAGAGAGAGGGAGACAGAGAGAGAGAGAGAGAGACAGAAAGAGACAGAGAGAGAGAGACAGAGAGAGAGAAAGGAGAGAGAGAGACAGAGCGAGACGAAGAGAGAGAGGGAGACAGAGAGAGAGAGAGACAGAGAGAGACAGACAGAGAGAGAGACAGAGAGAGAGAGACAGAGAGAGAGAAAGAAGGAGACAGAGAGAGAGAGACAGAGAGAGAGACAGAAGGAGACAGAGAGACGCGCTCTTCCATGATCCAGAGGAATAAACGCGAGGCTGAAGTTGGTTTCCTGTCCTCGAGCGTCCTGTTCTAATTCTCCGGTCCACCTTAAATGGTGCAGCGGTTCCATTATAACGCCTGAGGCGCCCGACTGTAACTGCTGCGCCATTTAAGGTGGACCGGAGAAACTCGAACAGGACGCTGAGTTCAGCTTCTCCTTCTTACACTCACATTTCACTCCTCTCTCCACCTCTCTCTCTCTCTCTCTCCCTGTGTTTAATCCCTCTCTCTCTCTCTCCTCTAATGTCTGTTACTCTTGAATAAAGTCGTTTTTACCTCCTCCAGCTCGAGCTCCATCTGTAGCTCCTCTCGCTCCTCGCGCTGACTGTCTGACCGGCTCGCGCTTTGTGCTGCCTAAGGGGAGTGGCCTGGTTCGGGGACCACACCCGCGGACACGCCCCCTAAATGACGCCATAGGCCAGGGTGTTCCCCCGGTTTACAAAGGACCTGTTTGGGTTTGTTATTAATACTAAAACACAGGAAATCCAACCTGCTGTAACTGTTAATTAAACACTGTGGCATTAAGAAACAGCGGAGCATTAAATATGATGAAGCATCAAACATACTGTACTACCAACACAGTGTAACACTAACTACAGCTTAGCATCAAATCCAATCTAACATTTACCATACTGTACATCAAAGATAATGAAACATCAAATCCAATCTAACATTTACCATAATGTACATCAAAGATAATAAAACATCAAATACAATCTAACATTTACCATAATACATCAAAGATAATAAAACATCAAATCCAATCTAACATTTACCATAATGTACATCAAAGATAATAAAACATCAAATACAATCTAACATTTACCATAATGTACATCAAAGATAATAAAACATCAAATACAATCTAACATTTACCATAATACATCAAAGATAATAAAACATCAAATCCAATCTAACATTTACCATACTGTACATTAAAGATAATAAAACATCAAATCCAATCTAACATTTACCATAATGTACATCAAAGATAATAAAACATCAAATACAATCTAACATTTACCATAATGTACATCAAAGATAATAAAACATCAAATCCAATCTAACATTTACCATAATGTACATCAAAGATAATAAAACATCAAATCCAATCTAACATTTACCATAATGTACATCAAAGATAATAAAACATCAAATACAATGTAACATCAAACTGAATGTAGCAGGACTGGCTGTAATACTTCATTAAACATAATGTACAGTTTAATGTGGTATTAAATATAATATTAAACACAGAACAGCCTGTTTGATCTTCATCATCATCATTATAATCATCATCACCATCATCTCCATCATCCTCCTCCTCCTCATCATAATCATCATCATCATCATCATCATCATCCTATGTGAGTGTTTGTGTGTGTGTGTGTATGTTTGTGTGTGTGTGCGCGTGTGTGTGAGTGTGTGTGCGCGTGTGTGTGAGTGTGTGTGTCAGTGTGTGTGTGTGTATGTTTGTGTGTGTGTGCGCGTGTGTGTGAGTGTGTGTGCGCGTGTGTGTTTGTGTGAGTGTGAGTGTGCATATGTGTGTGTGAGTGTGTGTGTGCGCGTGTGTGTGTGTGTTCTGTCAGCGGTCCGCGATGAGTGACACACTCACAGTGTCGGATTTATTAAACACAGAACTGGTTGAAACGCTGACTCCATGATTAACCCGGATCTTGGAATTTTCCATCTCGGAATCTCTTACTTCCCACCTAAAAGACTTCCTGCAGCTTCAGCTGTTTGAGGTCGGAAAAAATGGGAGCTCACACTGAGCTGAGGCTCGTCTGCCTGCTGTGTGTACAAAAACCTCTTAAAGGCATTTTTACAGTGGGTTAAAGACTGTTTGGTCTGTTTGGTCTGTTCAGTCTGTTCAATCTGTTTGGTCTGTTCAGTCTGTTCGATCTGTTTGGTCTGTTTGGTCTGTTCAGTCAGTTCGGTCTGTACGGTCTGTTCAGTCTGTACGGTCTGTTTGGTCTGTTCAGTCGGTTCGGTCTGTACGGTCTGTTCAGTCTGTTCGATCTGTTTGGTCTGTTCAGTCTGTTCGATCTGTTTGGTCTGTTCAGTCTGTTTGGTCTGTTTGGTCTGTTTGATCTGTTCAGTCTGTTCAGTCTGTACGGTCTGTTTGGTCTGTTTGGTCTGTTCGATCTGTTCAGTCTGTTTGGTCTGTTCAGTCTGTTTGGTCTATTCAGTCTGTTTGATCTGTTTGGTCTGTTCAGTCTGTACGGTCTGTTTGGTCTGTTTGATCTGTTCAGTCGGTACGATCTGTTTGGTCTGTTCAGTCTGTTTGGTCTGTTCAGTCTGTTCGATCTGTTTTGTCTGTTTGATCTGTTCAGTCTGTACGGTCTGTTCAGTCTGTTTGATCTGTTTGGTCTGTTCAGTCTGTACGGTCTGTTTGGTCTGTTTGATCTGTTCAGTCGGTACGATCTGTTTGGTCTGTTTGGTCTGTTCAGTCTGTTCGATCTGTTTGGTCTGTTTGGTCTGTTTGGTCTGTTTTGTCTGTTCGATCTGTTCGATCTGTTCAATCTGTTCAGTCTGTTCAGTCTGTTTGGTCTGTTCAGTCTGTTCAATCTGTTTGGTATGTTTGGTCTGTTCGATCTGTTTGGTCTGTTTGGTCTGTTCAGTCTGTTTGGTCTGTTTGGTCTGTTCAGTCTGTTTGGTTTGTTTAGTCTGTTCAATCTGTTCGGTCTGTTTGGTCTGTTCAGTCTGTTTGGTCTATTCAGTCTGTTTGATCTGTTTGGTCTGTTCAGTCTGTACGGTCTGTTTGGTCTGTTCGATCTGTTCAGTCAGTACGATCTGTTTGGTTTGTTCAGTCTGTTTGGTCTGTTCAGTCTGTTCGATCTGTTTGGTCTGTTTTGTCTGTTTGATCTGTTCAGTCTGTACGGTCTGTTCAGTCTGTTTGGTCTGTTCAGTCTGTTCAATCTGTTTGGTATGTTTGGTCTGTTCGATCTGTTTGGTCTGTTTGGTCTGTTCAGTCTGTTTGGTCTGTTTTGTCTGTTCAGTCTGTTTGGTTTGTTTAGTCTGTTCAATCTGTTCGGTCTGTTTGGTCTGTTCAGTCTGTTTGGTCTATTCAGTCTGTTTGATCTGTTTGGTCTGTTCAGTCTGTACGGTCTGTTTGGTCTGTTTGATCTGTTCAGTCAGTACGATCTGTTTGGTTTGTTCAGTCTGTTTGGTCTGTTCAGTCTGTTCGATCTGTTTGGTCTGTTTTGTCTGTTTGATCTGTTCAGTCTGTATGGTCTGTTCAGTCTGTTTGATCTGTTTGGTCTGTTCAGTCTGTACGGTCTGTTTGGTCTGTTTGATCTGTTCAGTCGGTACGATCTGTTTGGTCTGTTCAGTCTGTTCGATCTGTTCGGTCTGTTCGGTCTGTTTGGTTTGTTTGGTCTGTTCAGTCTGTTCGATCTGTTCGATTTGTTCAGTCTGTTTGGTCTGTTTGGTCTGTTTTGTCTGTTCGATCTGTTCAATCTGTTCAGTCTGTTCAATCTGTTTGGTATGTTTGGTCTGTTCGATCTGTTTGGTCTGTTTGGTCTGTTCAGTCTGTTTGGTCTGTTTTGTCTGTTCAGTCTGTTTGGTTTGTTTAGTCTGTTCAATCTGTTCGGTCTGTTTGGTCTGTTCAGTCTGTTTGGTCTATTCAGTCTGTTTGATCTGTTTGGTCTGTTCAGTCTGTACGGTCTGTTTGGTCTGTTTGATCTGTTCAGTCAGTACGATCTGTTTGGTTTGTTCAGTCTGTTTGGTCTGTTCAGTCTGTTCGATCTGTTTGGTCTGTTTTGTCTGTTTGATCTGTTCAGTCTGTATGGTCTGTTCAGTCTGTTTGATCTGTTTGGTCTGTTCAGTCTGTACGGTCTGTTTGGTCTGTTTGATCTGTTCAGTCGGTACGATCTGTTTGGTCTGTTCAGTCTGTTCGATCTGTTCGGTCTGTTCGGTCTGTTTGGTTTGTTTGGTCTGTTCAGTCTGTTCGATCTGTTCGATTTGTTCAGTCTGTTTGGTCTGTTTGGTCTGTTTTGTCTGTTCGATCTGTTCAATCTGTTCAGTCTGTTCAATCTGTTTGGTATGTTTGGTCTGTTCGATCTGTTTGGTCTGTTTGGTCTGTTCAGTCTGTTTGGTCTGTTTGGTCTGTTCAGTCTGTTTGGTTTGTTTAGTCTGTTCAATCTGTTCGGTCTGTTTGGTCTGTTCAGTCTGTTTGGTCTATTCAATCTGTTTGATCTGTTTGGTCTGTTCAGTCTGTACGGTCTGTTTGGTCTGTTCGATCTGTTTGGTCTGTTCAGTCTGTACCGTCTGTTTGGTCTGTTTGATCTGTTCAGTCGGTACGATCTGTTTGGTCTGTTCAGTCTGTTTGGTCTGTTCAGTCTGTTCGATCTGTTTGGTCTGTTTTGTCTGTTTGATCTGTTCAGTCTGTACGGTCTGTTCAGTCTGTTTGATCTGTTTGGTCTGTTCAGTCTGTACGGTCTGTTTGATCTGTTCAGTCGGTACGATCTGTTTGGTCTGTTTGGTCTGTTCGATCTGTTTGGTCTGTTCGGTCTGTTTGGTTTGTTTGGTCTGTTCAGTCTGTTCGATCTGTTCGATTTGTTCAGTCTGTTTTGTCTGTTTGGTCTGTTCGATCTGTTCAATCTGTTCAGTCTGTTCAATCTGTTTGGTATGTTTGGTCTGTTCGATCTGTTTGGTCTGTTTGGTCTGTTCGATCTGTTTAGTATGTTTGGTCTATTCAATCTGTTCAGTCTGTTCAATCTGTTTGGTATGTTTGGTCTGTTCGATCTGTTTGGTCTGTTTGGTCTGTTCAGTCTGTTTGGTCTGTTTGGTCTGTTCAGTCTGTTTGGTTTGTTTAGTCTGTTCAATCTGTTCAGTCTGTTTGATCTGTTTGGTCTGTTTGGTCTGTTTGATCTGTTCAGTCTGTTCGATCTGTTCAGTCTGTTCGATCTATTCAGTCTGTTCGATCTGTTTGGTCTGTTCAGTGTGTTCGATCTGTTCAGTCTCTTCGATCTGTTCAGTCTGTTTGATCTGTTCAGTCTCTTCGATCTGTTTGGTCTGTTCGATCTGTTTAGTCTGTTTAGTATGTTTGGTCTGTCCAGTCTGTTTGCTCTGTTCAGTCTGTTTGGTCTGTTTTTGTCTGTTTGGTCTGTTTTTGTCTGTTTGATCTGTTTGGTCTGTTTGGTCTGTTCGGTCTGTTCAGTCTGTTTGATCTGTTTGATCTGTTCGGTCTGTTTGATCTGTTTGGTCTGTTCGGTCTGTTAGGTCTGTTCAGTCTGTTTGATCTGTTTGGTCTGTTTGGTCTGTTCAGTCTGTTTGATCTGTTTGGTCTGTTCGGTCTGTTTGGTCTGTTTGGTCTGTTTGGTCTGTTCAGTCTGTTTGGTCTGTTTGCTCGCTGAGTCATTTATCTTGAAAACTACAGTAATAAACTACTTTAAAATGCTTCATGTTTCACAACCACAATGGTCGATTTCCTGGGCTTTCAGTTACAAACTGGTCCATCTGTTTCACACAACCGCAAACACACTTTACTCTGCTAGCTGGCTCGTTAGCTAACAGTCTGTTGTGATACCTCTTCACTTCACTCTAACTTGCTGAGGCTAACCCAGCGGAGGATGAGTGTGCTGAATAATCCACTCCTCACTGTCACCCACTAAGAGTGGACAGTGTAACACTGGTAAGTGTCAGTGCTGGAGTGGGTTATCAGGAGAGTGGGGGAGAATTCCCAGTGGGGCAGTAGTGTTTTGGGCTGGTTACTGTGAGCTAATGAATAAACTCATGCATGAAAACACAAAAATGCTCTATATACACTATAAACGTCACATCCAGTATATCTGTAATTGCTTAAGAGTTAAACCAAATTTATTAAACACATATTTTAAAAACATTTATTTGTATTTTATTTTTTGTTACATTTTATGTGGTTTTAACAAAGCTTAACTAAATATACATGAGCTGAATGAACAGTACTGACTTGCATTAATCATGTACAGTCGGTTTGTACTTCACATAAACAAGATATCAGATCATAACTGCATTTTCACAGAGTATCAATACCCACAACACTCACTTCTGTCCTGATAAAGGATCATTTGATCAGATTTAAAATGAAGAGACTGGAACACAAATTCATTTCTAAAGGTATCAGACAGTGAAGAGCATCAGACAGGATTCTGGGTATTTTTGTACATTTTCAGATGGATTTGATAAACACATTTACATACAGTTATTTTTGTCTATGTGTAAAATTTCCCCATACATTTTAAAATAAATGTGTTGTGACTGCAGTGTGTTTCAAATCCATCCATATATCCATATATATATATATATATATATATATATATATATATATATATATATATATATATATATATATATATATATCCATATATCTTTTTCCATAAGGGATGAAAAAGCTGGAGGATGAGCAGGTATCCGAGCAGGTGGGCAGTGAGAAACGCTGACATGGCGATAAGTTAACTTAGCTAACGTTAGCATCATTTGTAGCATAATGACTGTCATGATTGTCACGTTTATGACAAAACCTTTCGTCAGTGTTTCATCCCACCTGCCTGCCCAGACCAACCAGCTGGACCTGTGGTTAGAGGTTGGTTTGTTATGCTGGTAGAGTGTTTGTGTCTGTGTGAGATACTTAATTAGTATCATAACGGCTTATTTTTACTTTACTGTTTCTCTTTAATTACAACGCCACAAAGCAGCTCAGTAGGGAAGAGGCCTGTTTGTTTTTGGGTCGGTTCCTTTTTCTCCTGTTTATTGGTTAGACGATTTGTATTTTATTATTGTTTTTCTCTTAATCTTAGTTAATATTATAATGAGTTCATTTATACATGATAAACCTGTTATTTTAGGCTCATCGCTGACGGTAAAGCTGCTGTGAAAAAATAAACACTTACATTTGTCTTGTAATTTTGCAGTTGGCATTTTTCCTTTGGTCTGGTCAGGGGTGGCACCTCACCTCCAAAAGCGTTGGGGAAAAACATTTTGATTCAAAAATTAGAAAAGCGTCTGGCTGAGTGACGAAATGCAATTAGGCCTCAAACTCAAATCAACCTTAAGACTAAAACTGCCCTTCATTTTACTGTACTTCTGCTAAAGTATATCAGTGAGTAAAGGAGTCTTTTCACTCCAGGAATATTTGTAATCTGTTGATTTTTCCTTCATGAATCAACACAGTTCAGCTGTTTGGTGCGGATCTGAATTTGGGTGGAGTCGCAGGTCAGAACAGAACTAAAGGAAAAGTTTGGCAGGTCCGCACTAATCAAGGCGGGTCTGAAACTCCTCCCATCTGAAATGGAGGTTCTGATTGGCTCTGTTTTAGTTTTACTCTGCCTGTTAGTGCTGGTCAGGGCTTTACAAAGTTTAGGGAAAGCGGATGTTTTTATGTCGCAGCCTGAACTCAGAAAGTAGTGCGGCGCGGCCACGGTGCTCTGAAAGTGGTGGGGTGAATACCCGCTCGCCACCGTGGGTCCGGTGGCCCTGGTTGTGGGTCCAGAGAGAGGCAGCTATTTAATGATGTTTCCAGGCTGGTTTTCCAGGCCATAACACTCAGTTTTCATTTTGTCACCATGTAGTCACCTTGTTTACCTCAGAGTAGCATATAATTAACAAATAAAAGTTGAGTAAGGAAGAAGATGAAAACGCACAGATTTTAGAAAAGTCATGCTGCACGACGGCAGAGCTGTGTGAGCAGCAGGAGGAGCTCAGTTAGAGTTTAAGGTGGGCTGGTCTTCATCATACTGTCACCACACAAACACACCACTTTGACTCCTGATACTGGAGAGTCTGTGAGCTGATGGACGATCAGTTAACCGTGGGAAAGAGAAACGATGCCACCACTGTTTTCAGTGAGAGCACAAACATTCGTCATCACACAGACGAGAGCTTTTATCGTATTACTATCCACGAGTAGCCGAGAGGAATCGGCAGGATGTCGTGGTGGATGAGTAACAGATGCTGCCTGTTCAGAAGAGCTAATGAGCTAACAGGGCTAACCGGTTTAATGCTGGATGCTGATGAGGACACAGACACTGTTTCATCCCTGTTTCAGCACCACCTCTCTCACTTCCACTCACCAGGACCGGAGTGGGACTCAGACTGGGAGTTATATGACATGATTTATCACTTTAATGGGTTAATTACCCCCCCACACCCCCCACCCAGCTCCATTAACAGCTCTTAGTCCACTGCCTCAGGTCACACACTGAGGGGTTAGCGGTCTCACACACACACACACACACACACACACACACACAGTGATCTATAGTTTGTGTGTGTAAATGTGTAAACACTACACTCATTTCCAGTTACACTACACTTGTTTCCATGGTTACACTACACCTATTTCCATGGTTACATTACACTCGTTTCCACAGTTAAACTACACTCGTTCCCATAGTTACACTACACCCATTGCCATGGTTACAGTACACTTGTTTCCATGGTTACTCATTTCCACAGTTACTCTACATTCGTTCCCATAGTTACACTACACCCTTTTCCATGGTTACAGTACACACATTCATGATTACTCACTATTAACTGCTGAAAGCTATGAGGTTACAGTAGAGCAAAAACTTCAACTGACTTGGTTTTGATATTTGTAGTGATTTTTCATATTTGTAGTGATTTTGTTTTGATATTTGTAGTGATTTTTCATATTTGTAGTGATTTTGTTTTGATATTTGTAGTGATTTTTTATATTTGTAGTGATTTTGTTTTGATATTTGTAGTGATTATTTCATATTTGTGATTTTGTTTTGATATTTGTAGTGATTATTTCATATTTGTAGTGATTTTGTTTTGATATTTGTAGTGATTTTGTTTTGATATTTGTAGTGATTTTTTATATTTGTAGTGATTTTGTTTTGATATTTGTAGTGATTTTTCATATTTGTAGTGTTTTTGTTTTGATATTTGTAGTGATTTTGTTTTGATATTTGTAGTGATTTTTTATATTTGTAGTGATTTTGTTTTGATATTTGTAGTGATTTTTTATATTTGTAGTGATTTTGTTTTGATATTTGTAGTGATTTTTCATATTTGTAGTGATTTTGTTTTGATATTTGTAGTGATTTTGTTTTGATATTTGTAGTGATTTTTTATATTTGTAGTGATTTTGTTTTGATATTTGTAGTGAT